TCCTGAGAGCTTGAGTCAGCACTAAAAGTCTCCTAAAGAAACACTACTAGGCTGTTCAGGCTAAACAGGCTTCCACGCTTTGGATTACATTTATTTCATACTTAGGGGGCAGAAATCGGCAAGGTGATGGGACCAGCAGTTAGCATAATGGCTATGTTGCTGGACTCCCATGTAGTCGACTGTGGTTCGAGACCCGAACCCGGTGGTTTAAAATTCACACCGGGCGTGTGTGCGTGCATGCCCAAGATCCTAAGAGGAGAATGGAGGAGAAGGAATTGCGGCGTGGCCATCCCCCCTGGGGGGATGATTTCTCGCTTTCTGTCTCTCTGTCTGTCTGGTGAATGAGGCCCCTGTAAGCAAAAAACCCCCAAAAAAAAAAAAAAAAAAGAAATTGGTAAGGTGATCAGAAGTTCAGATTGAGATTTACATGTGTCTTTGATGGCCATAATCAAATTAATTACCACTTACATGCAGTCTGACTAGTTAAAAGAATTCAAAACATGGGGCCTGTGGGAGTATAGGGTGGGGACTGGGCATCATTGCCCCAATCCCTGCTCTGCTCTCCTCCAGTTCACCAGTTTACACAGGCTACAGGTTACTCGTCCAGTAACACTGACATTGCTAATCTTTTTTTTTCTAAGAGTTATTTTATTTAACTTTATTTAGCATTATTTTCCAGTTTGACCAGAGACAGAAAGAGAAAAAGAGGAAGAAAGTGAGAAAGACACCAGGTCCGAGACTCGAACCACAGTCATGTGTGAGTCTAGCACCTTTAACCACCATGGCACCTGCCGACTCCGACATTTCTAATCTTGATTTTGCTCTAATCCAAAAATGCCAGTAGGACAAATATCCAACCCCTGGTCTGGGTCTCTATATAGATAGTAGGCCATTAGGAAAGTCATGACATGTTTTTTTTTTTTTTTTAAAGTGGCAATAATTTTGTGCCATCTTTTTTTTTTTTTTTTTTTTTTTTTTGGAGAGTTTTTTTTTTTTTTTTTTTTTTTTGCTATAGGGTGCGTGTGCTAGCCAGCCAGACAGAGAGAGACAGAGAGACAGAAAGCAAGAAATCACTCCCTGGGGGCACGGCCACGCCGCAATCCCTTCTCCTCCATTCTCCTCTTGGGATCTTGGGCACACACGTACATGCGCCCAGCGTGAGTTTAAGCCACCGGGTCCAGCACTTGAACCACGGTCGACTACGTGGGAGTCCAGCGACATAGCCATTACGCTAACTGCTGGTCCCCATGACGTGTTTTTCTATGCAAACATGTGTTACGACTTTCCCCAATGACCCGCTAGATCTCTCTACACCTGCAGTGTACTAGCCCAACTATGACCTTTCTGTTGCTCCTACCGACCTTTTGCATCTGCTCCTGCTTGCTTTGATCCTATGGTTCTCCCACTTAGATCCTCTTAGTCTAGCCAACTTGTAAACTTCTCTTTAAAAGCCAGGGGACCAGTTCTGTAGCAGTTAAAGAAGCCTGATTCCACATGGCCAACCATGGTTGGAATTCCAGCAGCTTGAAAAACATGCTGAGTGCATGTGCACTGCATGCTCCAAATCCTTATGGGATGGAGAAATGGGGGAGAAGGGTTTGCGACGTGACCATGCCCCATTAGGGAAGCTGTCTCTCTTTCTTTGAAAAATAAGAAACAAACAAACTTTAATTTGCACAATCCCCTGGTGTACTGCTTTCAGACACAGTAGTCCTCCTTTATTTGCCATTTCACTATCTTTAGTTTCAGTTACACAAATTCAACCATGGTCTGAAAATATTAAATGGAAAATTTCAGAACTAAGCATTTATAAGATTAAAATTGTCTGCCACTGTTCTAGGTAGCGTGATGCAGTCTCATGCCACTTCAATCCATCTTGCCTTGGACATGAATCATCCCTTTGTCCAGCCTACCCAGGCTGGCCCGTTACCTCTCCATTAGTCAGTTAGTCACTCTGTAGCTGTCTAGGTTATCAGAGCAAAAAACTAAGCATTACATATTGTCTTGCAATTTATTAATTTTTCACTTATTAGTATGTTGAGAGGGCCAACAGGTGGCACGGTGGTTAAGGTGCTGAATTCCCACATGACCCAATCACAGTTGTAGTCCTGGACCTGGCAGCTTAAAAACCATGCTGAATGTGTGTGTGCCCCAAATCCAAAATACCAGGAGAAACATGGAGGAGAAAGGATTGCAGAGTGGCCATCCACCCTGTGGGAAATTCCTCACTTTCTTCTCTCTCTTTCTCCTATGAGCTCATGTACGTATGGCAAAAATGTAAAGATAGATAGATGATAGACAGACAGATAGATAGATAAAACTCAGGGAGTTCTGGAGGTAGCTGATAGCATTGTGGTTAAGGCTGCTGGATCCCATATGGCTGACCAAGCAGTTGGAGTCCTGGATCCAGAGATTGAAAAACACCCTGAGCACACATGCCCAGTCCTGAGAGAATGGAGAAGGGATTGCAGGGTGACCATTCCCCCGGATGGTGATTTCTCACCTCTCCCCTTGTGCTGTGCCCTTAAAAATCAAACAGGTCATGCGACCAGCAGTTAGCGTAATGGCTATGTCGCTGGACTCCCACGTAGTCGACCATAGTTCGAGTCCCGGGCCCGGTGGCTTAAACTCACGCCGGGGGTGTGTGCGTGCATGCCCAAGATCCCAAGAGGAGAAGGGAGGAGAAGGGATTGTGGCGTGGTCATCCCCTCTGGGGGGGTGATTTCTCACTTCCTATCTCTCTGTCTTTGTCAGTCTGGTGAGCGCATGCGCCCTATAGCAAAAACCTCTCAAAAAAAAAAAAATCAAACAGGTCATGCGACCAGCAGTTAGCGTAATGGCTATGTCGCTGGACTCCCACGTAGTCGACCATAGTTCGAGTCCCGGGCCCGGTGGCTTAAACTCACGCCGGGGGTGTGTGCGTGCATGCCCAAGATCCCAAGAGGAGAAGGGAGGAGAAGGGATTGTGGCGTGGTCATCCCCTCTGGGGGGGTGATTTCTCACTTCCTATCTCTCTGTCTTTGTCAGTCTGGTGAGCGCATGCGCCCTATAGCAAAAACCTCTCAAAAAAAAAAAAATCAAACAGGTCATGCGACCAGCAGTTAGCGTAATGGCTATGTCGCTGGACTCCCACGTAGTCGACCATAGTTCGAGTCCCGGGCCCGGTGGCTTAAACTCACGCCGGGGGTGTGTGCGTGCATGCCCAAGATCCCAAGAGGAGAAGGGAGGAGAAGGGATTGTGGCGTGGTCATCCCCTCTGGGGGGGTGATTTCTCACTTCCTATCTCTCTGTCTTTGTCAGTCTGGTGAGCGCATGCGCCCTATAGCAAAAACCTCTCAAAAAAAAAAAAATCAAACAGGTCATGCGACCAGCAGTTAGCGTAATGGCTATGTCGCTGGACTCCCACGTAGTCGACCATAGTTCGAGTCCCGGGCCCGGTGGCTTAAACTCACGCCGGGGGTGTGTGCGTGCATGCCCAAGATCCCAAGAGGAGAAGGGAGGAGAAGGGATTGTGGCGTGGTCATCCCCTCTGGGGGGGTGATTTCTCACTTCCTATCTCTCTGTCTTTGTCAGTCTGGTGAGCGCATGCGCCCTATAGCAAAAACCTCTCAAAAAAAAAAAAATCAAACAGGTCATGCGACCAGCAGTTAGCGTAATGGCTATGTCGCTGGACTCCCACGTAGTCGACCATAGTTCGAGTCCCGGGCCCGGTGGCTTAAACTCACGCCGGGGGTGTGTGCGTGCATGCCCAAGATCCCAAGAGGAGAAGGGAGGAGAAGGGATTGTGGCGTGGTCATCCCCTCTGGGGGGGTGATTTCTCACTTCCTATCTCTCTGTCTTTGTCAGTCTGGTGAGCGCATGCGCCCTATAGCAAAAACCTCTCAAAAAAAAAAAAAAAAAAATCAAACAGGTCATGAGTTTCCCCCAACTTGAAAATAATTTAGCCCTCAGAATTCCATCGAATACCGGCATTTCATTAAACATCCTTATACCCCAGTTATAAGCAGGGTAGTTTTGGCTCCTCTCCTGGACTGTAAGAGGAGAGATAGCTTCAAAAGCTTACTTTTGAACACAGAAATATATACACTAATAAATAAGTAAAGTTTGCTGCCTTGGGCACTGTGAAACTCCTGTAAGAGATGGGATAAATGATTATAACTTTAAGAATGAGCACTATATTTAAAACCTGAGTCTTAGATAAATTGGGAAATATCGAGCTTTGAAATTCTTCGTAGCTTGTATTAGAAGCAAATGGTTAAAACATTCTGCCGCTGAAGATATAATGGGAATTTATGCTACTATGAAACACTAGGGAAGAGGTATTTTCTTTTTCAGAGATTTTCACTATAGGGCGCATGCGCTCGTCAGACAGACAGAGAGAGACATTAGAGACAGAAAGCAAGAAATCACCCCCCAGGGGGGATGGTCACGCCGCAATCCCTTCTCCTCCATTCTCCTCTCAGGATTTTGGGCACGCACGCACACACGCCCAGAGTTTTTTAAGCCACAGGGTCCGGGACATGAACCGTGATCGATTACGTGGGAGTCCAGCGACATAGCCATTACGCTAACTGCTGGTTCCCAAGAGGTATTACTTTTGAAGTCTCCTACCTATATGTTCACAGGGAAGAACACTTTTAGGCAAAGAATTCAAGCTGCCAAAGTTTTTTTTTCTTTTTTTAGTTTTTTTTTTTTTTTTTGGTTATAGAACTAAGAGAGAGACGCCAGAGGGAAAGTGAGAAATCATCCCTCAGAAAGAATGGCCACGGGCAATCCCTTCTCCATTCTCCTCTCCAGGTTCTGGGCACGCACCCAGCGTTTTTCAAGCCACTAGGCTGGGACGCCAAACATGGTAAGTCATGTGGCAGTCCTTAACCATCACGCCACCTGCTGGCCCCAAGTCATATTCTTTTGAAAAGGCAAAGTTTCAAAAGAAAAAGAAAAGAGGGTGAGGAAGAAGGTAGCTCTGGGCAAGGAGAATGATTTGCAAATAGAAATACCTGGAGATGAAACTGCGTGTGGTTAAGGGCGCTGGGCTCCCACATGCCCAACCACCGTTCGCGTCCCAGACCTGGCGGCCTGCTTTCCGCTTTCTCTCTCTCTCTGTTACTCTCCAGTCAAATTAAAATAAATAAATAAAGTTAAATAAAATAATTATTAAAAAAATTAAAAAACAAAAGTCAGCAATATGACCAATTTCTCGTAAAATGAAGTGGGTGGGAGTTGTATCAGACTTCATGGCTGAACTCCGTCCAGCTGAATACTATTTTGAGTAAATGATCGCTGGAGCCCCGGCTATTCAGTCTGAAAAGAATCCGGGGGAAGGGTCCTTCTGCCCGCGTCAGCTCGGACACGGCCCCAAACCGGGAAAACTGTCGCCTTCACACCTCCCCTCGCTCCAGCTCCCGGCGTCTCTGCCTTTCCCTGTCCCTCCGAGCCCATGGCTGTCTCCCCTGCCTGGGTCAGGCCGCCCCCGGGCGCGCCCTTTATCGCCGGGGCCGCCCCGCCCCCGACCACGTGCCGCCGCCCGGGAGCCTGGGGATCGTAGTTCGCGCCGGTGCCCACGGCTCACGGGGCGCGGGCCGGACGAGACGGCACGTACACTCGGGGTTTCCTGTCCCCTGCGCGTGACCCCGCGATGAGGGCTGAAGGGACCCGAGCGGGCTGCCTGCTTGCTGCGGGATGCCTGGGCCCAGGACGCTCCCTGCC